AAGGTTGCAAATAGCAACTGTCACATATAGCCTATTCCCAATTATTGCCTGAAAGCTATTTGATCTTTTCCCTCCTTTAGAAGCTCATATAGGTCTATCTGTATTGGATTATTACTGTATTATTTTTCTATGTACTACCTGACCATCTTAAACATAGTGCAGTTTTCAAAGCCAAGCAGAGGCTAACAAGCTCAGATTGTTTCTTGTAAGATGTGCAATTAAGCTACATTGCTCCTTAGCACAAACAAATGGCTCTCAAACATGTCTTTATTCAAGTAGATATTGGCAAGTGTTTGATCAAGGGAGATATGAAGAAAACTGCCCTGCGTATCTTAATTATGCATTTTGCAGCAATTTTGCTTTGTGGTAAAGAGAATTTATAATAGAGAAAGAGTGTGTTGGCCAATTAATCCAGATCTAAATGTAGGACTAAACAATTCATGGACAAATGTTAGGATCCCAGAGGCCCTGTTCATAGACAATGGGATTCCATCAAGTGGTAAAGAGGATATTCTTTCAAGATCTCTGAAAGATCGCTTGATCTTTGGATACAGAAATTCAACATCCCAAGGACCTACAAGTATCAACTGTGCCAAAGAATGGAGGCCTTTGAACTCTGGTGCTGGAGAAGACTCCTGTGAGTCCCTTGGATTGCAAAGCTATCCAACTGGTCAGTCCTAGAGGAGATCAACCCTGACTGCTCTTTGGAAGTCCACATCCTGAAGATGAAACTCAAATCCTTTGGCCACCTAATGAGAAGGAAGGACTTACTGGAGAAGACTCTAATGCTGGGAAAGATGGAGGGCAAAAGAAGAAGGGGACGACAGAGAATGAGGTGGCTGGATGGAGTCATTGAAGCAGCCAGTGTGAGCTTAAATGGACTCCATAGGATGGTAGAGGACAGGAAGGCCTGGAGGAACGTTGTCCATGAGGTCACGATGGGTTGGACACGACTTTGTGACTAACAACGACAAAAACAACCGAAGTACTAAAAAAACCCAACAAGTACAATGGGGTATGTTCGTGTAACACATATATGGAATGTTCACTGTTGAATAGAGCGTTTATTTGTGTTAGCCTGAAGAAGGCTACAATTGAGAGAATGTTTGGTGACCTCCAGCTGAGTGCCTCAACCCCAGATCAGTTGCTGGACGACCAACAACAACTGGAAAAGTAATCCTGGGATGGTAGGCCGCATCAGTTGCCAAGGCAACGCTAAGCAGATTCCAGGAGCATCTCGAGGAGCACTGGGAGAAGCAGCATTGAGAAAGCCGGCTTCGTTTAAAATAGATCAAGAAAGCAAGGAAACACATTGACTCCCGAGGGAAACTAAATTCTTCTTGTGCACACAGACTTTGGAAATCAAGAGGCGCATCTACAAAGCAGGTTTCCTGTCTGAAGGAGGCTTCATCCCATCCCTGAGAAGTGCCTCTTTCGCTAGGAAATTGCCTCAGTTAAAATCAAGAGAAAAAGAAGATAGGCAAAAAGACAAGAGACTGGGTTTTTTTTTTTTTTGACAAACCAGACTAGCATTGGTATCAAATCACCAAATAGGGCTGTTACTATCATAGTAGACTTTTGATTCAAAGTCTCTGCCTCCTCTAGAGAAGCATGCAAGGAGTACTTCACTAAGGACCACAGCCGAGCCCGTTGTTAAGTGAGACATTTTGTGAAGCGATTTTTGCCCTGTTTTACTGCCTTTCTTGCCACGGTTTTTAAGCGAATCACTGCAGTTGTTCAGTTAGTATCACGGTTATTAAGTGAATCTGGCTTCCCCCGTTGATTTTGCTTGTCAGGAGGTCACAAAAAGGAGATCACGTGACCTTGGGACACTGCAATGGTCCAAAGTATGAACCGATTGCCAAGCCTCTGAATTTTGATCCCAGGATCATAGGGACGGTGGACAGTGCTATGTAACCGTTAATGGAGAAAATAATAACTGGGGAAAACGAAGAGACTTTCAGACTGGAAATATTTCATCATGTTGGATATTAGACACCCTTTGATGTGCAGTGAAAGCAATTTACTATAAAATACGCAGTTAATTAAAAATGAAGAAGGAGCAAGCCCTTAAATAGTCCAACTATCGTACCTGATTGCCGAAGAGGTTGAATCCATTAATTGCTTCCAGCGCAGCTTTTGCCAACCCGACAGAGCTGAGAAAGAAAGGAAAGAGACAGAGAGAGGAAGGGGGAAAAAAATGTTTGTTATGCTTTAAAAACTCTGGAAATAAAAATTGTGCTCCCTAAAGGCTGGTTTACACATCAGATAATTTCTTGCTGACAGCTTTAAAGAAAAAAAAATCTTTAGACAAAGTGATGATACAGTCAGTTTATTTTATCGGTTTTCAGCAATTTGTATTTAAAGGTCACCAGTGAATCCGCTAAAAAAAAAACACGTATTTTTTTTTTAAAGGACCTTGGATTTCAACATTTGGAACTACAAGTTTATAGGTCTTGCTGTGACAATAGCTGGCTTCACCTTTTCGGGGAGTATGAAAAGGAATTGGTGGTGGGTTTTTTAAAATTAATGTGTGGGACCATTGGTGTACATGGTGACTCTTCTAAACTGACTAAGGATCTAAAGTTAATTGCCTTTTATTTTGAACACTTTTTAGGAATACTGAATAACTTCCTCCCTTCATTAGTCTGCCTATTGAGATGAGGTGGACCAGTTACTTTCATGGTGTGATGACAATAACTTGGTCCTTAACACCAATAAGATCAAGGAGCTTATAGTGGACTATAGAAGCAATAGATCAGACATCCAGCCCTTGCTTATCAAGGGAGACCGAGTGGAGCAAGTGGCCAGTTTTAAGTTTCTGGGTATTATTATAAAAGAAGACCTGACCTGGGACAACTCACATTGCAGCACTGGTCAAAAAGGCCCCGCAGAGATGATACTACCTGAGACTTCTCAGGAAACAACTGAATGAAAAACTGCTGGTGACCATCTACCACTGTACCATAGGGAATATTTTAACTTACTGTATCTGTGCATGGTTTGCCAATTGCAGAGGGGCAGATAGGACAGCACTTCAGAGGGTTAAAGTCATTGCCCAGAGGATCATTGGTTGCCCCCTCCCCTCTTTGGAAGAGCTTTAGAGCTCCTGCTGCCTTAAGAAAGTTCAAAACATTCTTAAAGATCCATCTCATCCTGGGCACCCTCTTTTTTGAACTATTACCATCCGGCAGACGGTACAGGACAATAAAAACCAGGACAAATAGTCTGAAAAACAGCTTCTATTCCAGGGCAGTAACCATATTGGATTCTATGATATAGTGCAATATCGGGTTTTCAAATTTAAATTATATAGAATGTAAAGGATGTATGTGTGCTTTTATTTTTATAGTTATAATGCACACTGAAGACGGCATTTAATTTCATTGTACCATGTGCAATGACAATAAAGTAAACTAAATAATTGTAGAAGTAAGCAAACCCAGGCTATAGTCATCTTGGAACTATCAGAACCTTGGACAGCACCACAAAGAGATTAACCAAGACCTGTGCTTGAAAAAAACAATATCTATATCTATATCTATATCTATATCTATATCTATATCTATATCTAATCTATATCTATCTATCTATCTATCTATCTATCTATCTATCATCTATCTATCTATCTATCTAGCCATACCCTTACTGGGATTTGAACCTGGGCTATATTACATACTAGGCAGATATCTTAGCCATTAGGCCACAGGCTCTTATCCGTTATCAGCGAAGCCAGGGTGAAAGGTATCTATTAGATTTTTACAACCCCCGGTATGCCCAAATATGGGAGGAAGATCACTACTTCCATTCTCTGTCCTTCGGCTCGTCACAAGAGACCATCCAGGCAGAAACCCAATATTTTTACTGTTGCCTTTTTGTTACATTTTGTTCTATTTGTGCTGATAAATAAATAAAGGGAAACTAGTATAGATCTATTTCAAGCTATTTAGCTCTCATCAGCTAGCCTCTCACAGGTTCGAATCCCAGTAAGGGTATGGCTAGCTGATGAGAGCTAAATAGCTTGAAATAGATCTATACTAGTCTCCCTTTATTTATTTATCAGCACAAATATAACACACACACACACACACACACACACACATATATTTGTATTTGTGCTGATAAATAAATAAAGGGAAACTAGTATAGATCTATTTCAAGCTATTTAGCTCTCATCAGCTAGCCTCTCACAGGTTCGAATCCCAGTAAGGGTATGGCTAGCTGATGAGAGCTAAATAGCTTGAAATAGATCTATACTAGTCTCCCTTTATTTATTTATCAGCACAAATATAACACACACACACACACACACACACACACATATATATAGATGGCGAGTGAGACCTCACCGAAACATTGCCAAGACAATCTCAATCTTACACAGGAAAACAATAGGATGAAAAGGAGTTTCTGGATCTAAGATTGGACTTAAATCTGCATCTACTTCACGTTCAGTCCAATATCTTCACCTCTACAAGACACTAACTCTCCAAAACATAGATTCCACTGAGATGTTTTCATTACTAGCTTACTAGGAAACATTGATTCCCCCCACCCCTTTATTTCTGCCTTCACACTGAGAGCTTTCCATGCTTTTCTGAAGCAATACACAAGAGGGGTGGGGTGGGGTGGGAAATCATGTGCTGCTTACTAATTGGTTCAACAAGAAAAAGATGATTAGGTTGCCTACCCAACTTTGTTCTGAACAGCTGCCATCAAAGGCTGATGAAATCTCACATATTTTTCCCCCTCATTTTCTGCTGATTAGAAACGATTCTCTTCGTGAATGACGGATGACATGCTAATGGAAGCTGGATTGCTTGGTACACTGCTTGGGTAATGGAATCTTTTCCCCCCTCCATTAAACTCAAGGAGGACATCTCTGATTACATCTTTCAGGCCCTTCTCGGAGTCTTCCCTCAGGCCTTCCTTCCTTATGTGAATCTATACAATTTTTTTTTTAATTTCTCCTTTTCTGTATTTTTTTTTCAACTCAACAAATTTTTGACCCGTTCTAATTAACTCTTTACATTTTGAAATATACAAAATTTGACATCATCAACCTTTCCTGGCGAAATCTAAATAAGAGAAGAGCATACAATGGAAACCCAATATTTCTTCATTGATACTGATATAAGTATGCAATGAAGGTCAAGGTCAAGGTCCCCTCGCACATATTTGCTAGTTGTTCCCGACTCTAGGGGGCGGTGCTCATCTCCATTTCAAAGCCGAAGAGCCAGCACTGTCCGAAGATGTCTCCGTGGTCATGTGGCTGGCATGACTCAACACCAAAGGTGCATGGAACGCTGTACCTTCCACCAAAGGCAGTCCCTATTTTTCTCTTTGCATTTTTTACGTGCTTTCAAACTGGTAGGTTGGCAGAAGCTGGGATAAGTAATGGGAGCTCACTTCGTTACGCGGTGCTAGGGATTCGAACGGCTGAACTGCCGACCTTCTAATCGACAAGCTCAGCATCTTAGTCACGTATGTAATACTGAGGCACGATTCCGCCATCAGTTCAATCATCTTAATGTCTATGGAGCTTCTCAGTTCATCCAGGTCATGGCGGTACCAAAGGTGCTTTTTCAAGAGGCAACTGGACTTTCTGGTTTATCCTTTGAAGACGTTTTTGCCAAGAAGCTGAAGAAGCGTCTTGGATGAGGAGCGAAACGTCTTCAAAGAAAAACCATAAAGTCCAATTGCCTCTTGAAAAAAAGCATCTTTGGGACTTCAATCATCTAATTAACAGATATGTACCTATGTGAAACGAAGGAGTGGCTTTTTCAAAAATGAGATCAGCTTACTGATTTCATTCCTTTAGCTTTAGAGATCAGTAGAGGCACCAAATAAATTTTTTTTTTTTAAACCGAAAAGAGCAATGGTCAACTTCTTTTGCAATCAAAGGGGATAAAGACTAAAACAAGTGGATTAAGAATGCGTCACTTGGCTTGATGGTGTCGGTTGATACTGAAAGCTACAAAACTAGCATCTCTGGAAAAATACTGAACAGCTTTTCCCAAGCTTTGTGATTAAGCAGCTGTTAAATGTTGGGCTTCTGATTGATGATTGCTTAAGAATGAGAGATAAGAGATAAGGCACTTGGCTCCTAAATTGCTGTTCACTGTCTTATGGGCAATCTTTAGTTGCAAGCCCCAAGGATTAATTTAAGACAGATTCAAGCTCCAGGATTCAATCTAAGGCACCTAAGTTTAGAAGGACTGTGTTCTGAGCCAGGCTTCCCACGAACATGAAGCAAACTCCTTGTCCTGACAAAAAAACCCTTTTATTAATTTACTGTGAATTCTGCTCATTCACATCCAGCAAAGTCTTTCAAGGGAAGATATACAGTCACAGACCTTATCTGGCTTGGAGAGCTGCCAGGCCAATATCTGCAAAACTTGGCCAGGAGTCTCAGAGAGTCACGAACTGATTAAGTGAACTAATTGTCTCCTGCAAACTCCACTCCCCTTTTGCTCCTCTTTTATTTCCTCTGGGAGGGGCCATTCATCATCCACTTGTGGCCTTACTCCCAAGTCAACCCCTGTTCTTTAGCTGTTCCCTTCGTCTGGCAACTCTGCGCATGCGCACACTGGGAACAGGCTCCAGCTGTTCATCTGCCTCACCGATGTCTGCCTCTGAAGGTAGCTGATAACTGTCAGCCGGCCCTGGCCCCCTCTCTGCCTCCGACACAGAGCCCTCATCCGAGCTTTCCCCAGACTCCAGGACTGGCCCATCTTCCTCCCCAACCTCCTCACTGTCTGAATCTGCTGCCTGGCCACATGGCGGGCCAAAACAACAAGGTGTAGCCAAATCCCAGTGAGATGTAAATCCAATTTCCTTTTTACCACTTGTTTTGCCGAGTTAAATTTCCATGCCTGGATTTTTAATAGCA